TAGTAATGCCGGTTCTGTAATCAGCAGGAAATCATCATCAGCTGCTTTCAGACGGAGCAGAATTTACTACACAGAGTCGTAGAAAGAGTTCATCTGAAAGCATGTGAAAATACCACATTTAATAACATATTTTTACTCCAAACTCACTTCATAACGTCAGTCGAGTGTTTGAAATAAATCCTTCTGTGAGATGATGTGGCTTCTTACACAGAATAAGGCACGCAACATATTTCATACTATTCTAAGCAGTGATAAAGGCTATGAAGATTAGCATTGCATTATTTTATACTTTATTATAATAAACATTGTAATAAGATGAACTCAGATTAACCATATATTGTCGTAGTCGTGTGTTTATTAGTCACGTTGAATCAATAAAAGCAGTTAAATCTTCTGTTTATTCAGCAACCGCTATAGGCATTTCCTGGGTTTCTTCTGCGAGGCGTATTTGGAGTTTCAGCGCGAGAGCGCCCTCTGGCCTTCGGATGGAGATTTACTGCTGATCACAGAACCGTGCTTCACTGAAAGATATGCATGACAATAGCAGCTTCTGTCGAATCGCGATCTTGATACCATTTCGATTTATCGTGCAGCCCTACTGCATGTATATGGGCTGTATGCAGCACTGCAACTTTATTGGCCTTGTTATTTGTATTCAGCTGATTGAGTATTTTGTCACTTACATTATATATGCACATCTTTACGTAAGCCACTTTAGGATGAACTTGTTAGTCAAGAACAAATGGAAAAATTGCAATCAAAATGGCACTTGGCCTAATCAAGGTGTCTTGTTGTACTTGGACTAATTAAGGGTTTTTTTTTTTCGTGAGAGATTATCAAACCTCAGATTAGGTTTTTATCTGAACCTCTGAACCACCTTTCTATTTCATTACCTTGCCAATCGTGTAGATTGCCAAAGCCATAATAAAATCAACTATTTAAATTAAAAAGGTCTCCATGGCCTCTGAATTAATTTGTGAAGTCTAATGCTTTATTGCTTTATTTATCAAAAGAAGTGGTCTTACTCTGTGGCATAAAGCAGTGTATGTAGAAAATAAATGTATTATGTTGAAAATTTATATATTTGCATTATATAGCATGGCACTGTGCAGTCAAAAATGTGATACTTTGGTTATTTATTTTATTATCATCAGAAATGTCAAGCATTTAAGAATGATGAGGTAATGAATTATAATCTATTCTGTCAGTCTGCGTCATTGACATTTTGACATTTGATCCAGTCACCAACAATAGTAAGCACTGTTTATAATGTAATCAGTAACTCCTTTATGTTTTTTGGAAATACTAATGACTCTGAGCCAGGCTAGAGTCATACATGACTCCTGATTTAGCTAATATTCCTCTGATTAGCCAGTAAACATGAACTTGAGTGTTTAGGTTTTTTTTTGTGCCCACTGCCTTTTTTGCCTCATATCTTTATGATAGCTTTAAATGTAACAGATTTATGCATTTGTTGCTGCTCGCATGGCAGTAAAAAATGACAGATTTTTTATTTTTATTTCAATGAAATTAATGTACTATATTTTAGTTTGATAATGTTTTGTTTTTATTTAATATTTTTAGGGGGTTGTATGGTACTAAATCATATTTATGGAATAGTTATTATTCATTTATTACCTGGTAACCACTTTTTGAGCGTATACCTGAAAATGAATTTTTCAACTTAAACTCTTATAAATCTTGATTGCTCAGGACTCAAGTTTGGTCTCTTCTCTTTGTAAAGACGACACTTAGTACATTATTGCGGAAGTGTAAAAAATTTAAAAAGTGAAACAAAAAAAGTTCTAGAAGTTTATTATTATGAGAAATGCACAAAATATAATTTTTTAATTTTCTATGAAATATAATTTTTTCAAGACATCTAATATTTTCCTCTAAAACTGCATGAAAATAAATATTTTTATTTAAGTTGTGTTCCAAATTTTGAAGTTAAGATCTCAAAAAAAAAAAAAAAAACTTTTAGTAAAATTTCATTTCCAATTCATTTCAAATGCTGCCATTTTTGACCGTGAACAGTACAACAGTATACGTTTATATGGGACCATTTAACCTTTTTAAATCACGTCCATTATTTATTTATTTATTTTGTGTGTGTGTGTGTTCATATATCAAATGCCAAAACCTTTACCAAGTTACATACTATTCACATGAAGTAAAAAAAAACAAAAAAAAACCAAAGCATAAAAAATGACCGAACAGCACCAGAGGGTTACAGGAATAGTTCACCCAAAAATAAAAAAATTGCTGAAAATGTACTCACCCTCAGGCCATGTAATGTAAATAAGTTTGTTTCTTCACTGGAACAGATTTGAAGAAATTTAGCATTACATCACTTGCTCACCAATGAATCATCTGCAGTGAATGGGTGCCGTTGGTTTAGAGTTCAAATAGCTGATATAAATAGCTGATCATAATAATCCACAAGTAATCCACACAGCTCCAATGAAAGCGAAAGCAAAAAGCATGTTTGTAATAAAATGTTGTTTTAAACATTTTTAATGTTGTTTTTAAAACCATGTTTTTAACTTCAGACCATTGCTGCCGGCTAGAATACAAGTCCTCTATCCATGATATTGATTATTGAAAATAGCTTTAAGGAAGCATTTCTTACAAGCACACATTTCACTTCACGCGTTAGTTGTTTGTTTTTTCCACTCCAGACATTAATTGATAGACTGGAGTCTTGTGGATTATTGTGATGTTTTTATCAGCTATTTGGACTCATCTTCTACATCTTGGATGGTAGGTACAATTTCAGCAAATTTTCATTTTTGAGTCAACTATCCCTTTAAGTTGTTTCTCAGCTTTGTCAAGATGAGAACATGGTCATTTGAGAGGATTTGCTGGCCAGTACCACAGTGGTCCTAGACTTTATGCTGACACCTATTGGTGTGTTTGAGCATCGTGCAAAAGCACGTTTTCAGTTACTTTTATCATTGTAGAAATACCCTGTTCACAAGAATATTTGTAATGTATGATTAATTATTCTGCAATCTAGTATGTCCAAAAGGGTTTACTAAGACAAAGTGAGTAGTATTCAGTTGGTCATATAGCAGCTATCATGTGGGACAACCACTCTAATGTAGCATAAAATTGCTTTTATGTACCCGAGGTCTTCATCACCCGTGAACATTACTCACTTCTTTTCAAATTACTTTAAGGGTGAAAAGTTTTAATCTCTGCATGTCAGCGAGATCTAATCAGCCTCATACTGTTTTGAAACCACTGGCTGTATCAGCAGTTCAGATACTCAACCGCAGACTCATTTTTACAGTTTCATGCATCAATATTGCAACTGCAAGCAGTTGTTGGACCTGCATCTTCAGTACATTTGAAACCTTTTCTGCTTGGAAAGATTATCAAAATTACCTGGTGACCCACAACATGTATTATATATATATATATATATATATGTATATATATGTGTGTGTATAGATCAGTCAGTTGTGTGTGTGTGTGAATATATATATATATATATATATATATAATGGCTGTCCACCAACGTTTACCATCCAACCTGATAGAACTGGAGAGGATCTGCAAGGAGGAATGGCGGAGGATCCCCAAATCCAGGTGTGAATAACTTGTTGCATCTTTCCCAAAAAGACTCATGGCTGTATTAGATCAAGAGGGTGCTTCTACTAAATACTGAGCATTTTTCAGTTTTTCTTTTTTAATAAATCTGCAAAGATGTCAACAATTCTGTGTTTTTCTGTCAATATGGGGTGCTGTGTGTACATTGAGGAAA